AGTTTTTGCAGATGAGCCAAAAATTGCAGTTCCGAATATCAAAATGTCGTCCAAATGATTACGGCATTACATTGCTGAGCAAAGGAGGGAGTCTGCATGTAAAAGTTGCTTCACGTGCATGCTTTTATTTGAAATTATTTATAAAAATATTTAAATGGAGAGAAGAAAATTAGTTGATTTTATGTAATGTTTTATCACATGAAATGACAATATTTCCAACAAACTTTACAATAATTCAAAATCATAAGTTAAAAACCGCTGACGCCGCAAGTTTGAATTATCGCATCAAACGCACTACGGTCGGTACAGGGTTGGCGCGCACGGCGCATGGCCCATTGTAGCGCCTTACAAGACCTCAGGATACTTCATGCATTGCGCGTGTAGCACGGTGCGCGCTCCAGACGTTGAAAAGTCGCATTTTCTTGATGTCGAACCTACCTGGTTGTACAAAATTTCCGCATCGTGCACACCACGAGCGTGCAATTCTAGGATCACAGGATTGTAGGGATTTTGCAATCCTATATGTTTTCCACTTCGAGAAGCCAGACCGCTTCAGATCTTAATTCCAGGGATTCAGAAATTCGGATGATGTTTAATTTTTTTTCTTTTTTGAAAATAATAAAGAAAATAGAGTGAACGAAAATGTCGGGTCGAAATTTTCTTTGATTTTATTTGAAATCAGTTAGGCGCTTCTGATTCTTTGCTCGGTGTTTACGATCGATTAAAGGGAAAATATATATTGTTATATCGCAACGATTCAGAAACTCAAACCAACACGCGCTGTCTTGTAATTGTGGAGTTCTTTGAAACAACCACGTGAAGAGGAATTTCAAGTTTCAAGATAAATCCATCTGAAGAATTTGAATACTTGTGGCTCAGTTCGATCTCAAAACTTTCTCGTGATCCAAAATTCCATAGATAGTGCAAGTGTTCAAATAAGCTGAGTAAATCTCCGGTGATTTTTTTTTTTTTTTTTTTCCAAAAAAAAAAATTAAAATCCAAATTGCACCATCACGACTCAATTTGAGGAAAATCGCTGTTAAAAAAATGTTGACTCTACGGAAGCATTGAAACGTCCTTTTTCTCGTAAAAGATGACGTTTATCAAGTGCACTGAAAAAAAAACAAGCAGTGAACTCCAACACAATGTGTTGATAAGGCGCGTCATTAACTCACACATATCAACCCCTTTAGTTTTCATTTACAGAGATTTCAAAATAGGCAAGTAGCACAACAAGAGAATTCATACGATCCAACTCTTCAACGACGCACTTTGACGAGACCGTGTATTGTGAATGTAGAAAGCCATTCGAACGAGTTTAAGTTTTTTGATCTGCCCCCAGCAATATCTTATCAGATTCTTAAAGAAAAGTGTTACGGAATAATTTAAGCGAAGAAAGGAAAAATTCTGTCGAACTCCTGAAAGATACAGTCGATTTAAAGGTATTTTTGGGGCTGAAATATCCAAATCACCGGTACCTATTATAAATCCCGATATATTATTGAAAAGAAATTGACTCGATATAAATGCAATTGCATTAGATATGTCTTGATTTTATTATTTTAAACGATTTCCATGCAAAGAAGTTCAACCATGTCCATGCTTTATTCATTCATGAATTGAAAGTAAGCAATCTACATCCCGAAAATCTACCGATTTGCCGTAAAAAATTGCAGAAACTCGATATACCAAGTCGATGCACCCACTCGTTGAATTTACCAACCAATTTCGTGAGTGCAAATATATAAAAATCAATATGCTATAGTCATTTTGGGTGCATTTATTTTTCATGAAAAAATAATAATTTCAATCCCGAAAAACCATCAATTTTCCGTATAAAATCGTTTTGGCTTAAACGACTCAAGAGACACTGTAGTTAAAAAATATAAAGAATTTTCGATTTTAACACAAAAAAAAATGTTCGTTCAGGCACACCATGTATTGTATGGTGTATTGCGCTGGTATTCAATCCTTGCCTTCAGATCAAAATTCTTACAAGGAAGCCCCTTGCAAGAGGCGAATTTTTTGTAATTTCTCCCAATTTTTTCTCCGTTATATAGTTGAATTGCTTGCCAAATTCTGAGGTCAATTATATTTAATTGTAATTTATACATTTCTTTTTTCCCCTTCATTTTATTTTTTGTTTGGAGAAGTTTCGTTGATTTCTTCGAATTTCGAATACTGCAACTTCTCTTCTATTCGGCCGATTTTTATGAATGAGACCTCTTTCAATTCGTCTTTGAACGGAGAGTAAGGAAAAAATTGCTAAGTATTCGCGAAACAATTTTTTCGAAAATTTGATGGATCCCAGCGTGACGGTGAAATGGGTAATCGAGTGAAAGTAATTAGGTCTGACTGTGACGAGGACCGCGAGGGTCGCCTTTTGTTCTTCAGCTGGGAAGCGACGCGGCGAACCGAGCCAGGACCGGGACACTACCTGGGTTTTGTGCCTGCCTGTGCACTGTTTTGGCCTGATAGGGGAGTGAATTTCTGTATGGGCCACGGTTAGCACATGGTCTAATGAGTCTCGAGGCTCATCACAGATTGCACTTACCACTATCCTGCTGGCCCCGGCTATCAGAGCAAGGGGTACCAAATTTTGAAAATCTTAACAGGGTTGTGGAGATCTGTCAAAGCAACGTTTTAAACAAAACGAAGAAGTGAAATTCTCATTCAACGAGTGCCGACCTGATCAGCCATCCTCGAATCAGTTCGCTTGTTTCTGCTTATATATGCATATTTTAAATCAGCGCGTCGTACTAATAGGCTTTTTTTAAAAAAAATAAGTAACGTAGACTCTTGGTATTCACTGCACATAAACTAGAGAGCCCCAGAATGAGAAACAACTTTAAATCATAATTATTGACGGATAAATAAACTTTTTACAGGCTTTGGAAAATCTCAGAAGTTCGCGGTAGTCACTTTTCGGTAAGGAACTAAGGGACTCGGTTATTGTATCGAGTGGGGGGTCGAAACGATCGCAAAGGCGGTATACTACGTATACGCGCCAAAAAAAAACACATTGGATCTAGAGTCCAGACTCTTAAAAACATCGACAAGAAAAAATACTCTTGATTCAATCGGATTTTCGCTTAAATCAAGAACCAAGCCTCTTAATTTGAGCGGATTTCCTTTTGATTTTAGCTTAAATCTAATTGAATCAAGAGTCCTTTTTCTTGTCAATGTTTTCAAGAGTCTGGGCTCTAGATCCAATGTGTTTTTTTCCAGTGCATTTTGCAACAGAAACTACAATTTCTGGCTAGGTTTAGAAAAAACTTGGCGCACATGAGAGTCTTTACGGATGAGCCAGAAATTGCAGTTCCTAATCACAAAATGTTGTCCAAATCATATTGATACCCACTTGGGATCAGTGTGACGTCACGTTTGAATCATCGTGGGACTCTTCGGCCCGGCCGGAGCAGAAAGCGGCGGCGCGGCGGCACGCACTGGGGACAAATGCGGACTGCATTGGCCGGAACCAATCGAGTATTGAGTCATTCGCCGGTTCGGCTTCACAGTTCACACCAGCAGCGACAACGCACGCACCTCACCCAACCACGACGCCCGGGACCGACGCATTTCCACTTCGTGTCGCGTCGCGACGCCCGCCGCCCGACGCCCCGACGCGGTCGCGCGGAGAGCAACTCCTTTGAGAATCTGACAGCGCCAATCTCAAGACGGATGACGGAGCGGCCAACGCACTCGCCTCTCCAACAGCCGATTGTCTCAGACTACGGGTTGATTATTGAAATTGATGGACAAAGATGTAGACAAAGAAAAATTGAGTGATTCTAATGGTTCAAACGCACGATTTTTGTGGACTAAGGGGGAAATGATGACCTAACTATATGAGAAATGTTAAAAACTGAAGAGCGCGTGACAAGACATGTTTGTCTCGTAAAATAAAAATCTTTCGAAAATCTCTCAAAAAAATCTCTCAAAAATCTCTTAAAAATCGTTAAATAATCTTTTCGATTTGATTTAATACGCAAAACGCCGTATCTTCATGTAACGATGACGTATGAATACAATGAGTGACACATTTTGTAATCACAGGCGGAACAATTGCAAGGCACTCCGGATTTTACAATGCCTAGGTCTGGATACAACTATTCGTGTTCTCTGCATGTGTGTGTTGCATACCTAAAACTTGCAGGCGCTCTGGCTTTCTAAGGAGCATGGTTCATATTTCTCGGGGGTTTTGCATTGCATTTACAATCGTGTTTGCCATGAAATTCAAATTCGCCGTGTTGCATCACGGCATTGTCGCCGTATGATGCAAATTTTCACAAAATCATCGCAGATGTCCATCCCGCAAATTACTACGGACAAAATGTCCGCGATCTGCACCATTTTGCAACACTGACACGATGCTACACGACCCATACGAATTTCGATGATTTCACGGCAAACACGATTTTAAGGAGCGTAGCAAACTCTTGCTTGAGAACTAACAACCGCAGCCGTATACGTTGAGCCCAAGAAAACCAGAGCGCCTGCAATTTTTTTGTGTATGCAACATGGACATCCTGAGGACACGAATAGTTGCATCCAGACCTAGCCATTGAAACAGCCGGAGCGCCTCAATCTTTTTCCGCTCGTGATAACCATCTATGTCATTCATTGCATTAGTAGATCGTCGTTCAACGAAGATACAACGGTTTGAGTATTAGATCAAACTGAAACAAGAAATTAAGTAAATTAATAAAGAAATAAATAAAATTGAGACTATTCATACGGCAATATACGGACTATAACGGCAATTACATACTGGACCTTCTTCTGAATGTTATCATTTAATTTATTTAGAATTGAGTAAAAATTGTATACTAATTATATTATTTACTATCTTCCACGTACGGCAACGTTGCCAAATGATGCAATGTCCGGGACTTTTATCAGCAACAACGAGCAAAATCACGACCTGCCAAGATCGTCACTGTTTGCATCTTCACCACAAATATTCAATTTTAATATGCAGTATAAAATGTTTGTTCCAGGTCAAATGATGGATTTCGTGGGGATACTGGCTGTGATATGTACGATTAGTGTGACCCTTGCAATGGGCTTTACTGGAGGCGATGACAGGTTCATGAAAAAATACGCCATGATGAAAGTAAGTTCGTTATACTGTTTGATCTACCGCTTGTAATTTCTGAGCTCCTCTCTAATTTTTCTCTTAACTAATATCTTCAAAAAAAGAAAATGGGTAGCAATCTTTAACTATTTTCGTAGATTGCTCAAAGACCTCTGACTCTATGGGGAACAAATGATCATAATTTACTCAATTCGTGACACTATTTTGGGTAGATAGTAGTGCGAGGTCTTCAAAATATCAGTGCCGTGCTTTGCGATACATCGATTTATCTGTCATTTAAACCTATGAAAAAAAAATCGGTAATCTGGCTGTTCGCAACGAAAACCTTTATAATCGATTCTTAACCATAGCTTTAAATAAGGGAATATTGTAATCAATAATTCACGCCTCTCCATTGTAAAATATATTAGCTCTGACTCCGTTTGCTAATTGAATCAGTGAGAGCGCAAACATACCAACTCGGTAACTCAGAAATGCTCAATTTCATTGAAGACATTCGAGTCGGTGTGTTTTCGTTCTGACTGATTCTGATTCAATTCCAACCGTTTTCACCCCTAATCCGGCAACAGCGACTCAACGGTGGTACTCAGCGCACTGATTACGACAAAACGAAATACTGCCCCACCCGCACTTTACCGTAAACCGCATGCTTTCGCAGATTTTCCGTTGGCGTTAGGCGTTTCTTCCTCGACAGCGCAACGTATCGGTCACATCGCGACAGGAACACTGGGTCGGTGCCGCATACGCACCGCAGCAAGGCGCGCACGGAGCGACTAGATCTTAAACTAATTATACGCATGATAACGTAATTAGAGAACTACATTCTTCCTCCGCCCGCTCCTCATTGTTGAATTATTCCCCCTCGTTTTTTCATAATCGTGTGCTCTGAGTCGGTACTGGTGGGTCAGTGCAGAATGCATGCCATTTCCTCGCTCCCCCGACGCTGAGGGCGTAATTCGAGTGTGACGTGAGCTGCAGAAAGCAAGATGTTATATGGACAATAGGGCTCATCTCAAAAAGTAGTTATGTTCTAACGTAATAGGAATGACTGTTGCCTCGGCTGGCCGCGCAAATCCGCACCGTGAAACTTCACCACAGAACACTGCCTCACTGTGTAAGAACGTCGTATGAGAATACAGATGTTGCCCGATTTTCCCCGAGAGAATGTCTGCGGAAATGTCTGAAGTTTTCTTGAAAGGATCCTCTCAAAAGTTGCCTATTTCCGGAAGTTAAAAAATTACATTGAAATAAGGCTAAACGTTTCATTCCTGTTAACTGTAGGGTCATCCTGCCCGTAATTGAATCAGTGAGAACGAAAACACACCAACTCGGCAAAATGAAAGTAATCAGGACGCACCCAAAACTGCACAATAAAGAAATGATAAAGAAATAATTCTGAAAAAATAATAATAATAATTCTGATAAAGAAATAAGTCTAAGAAAAAGATTTTTGATGCCGAAATGCAAGCACTTAAGGACATTTTAAAGGTCCAAGTTGGAGCAGATGTTCTAACTTTAATGACCTTTATAAAACTTGACAGTCTTTAATGAAAATTGAGCATTCTCGAGTTACCGAGTTGGTGTGTTTTCGAACTCACTGATTCAATTGTGACATCGAGCCTCCGATATGGCGCAATTCTACCTGTAAATGGACTCTAGTTCTGTTAAGATAACCTGAGATCATTTGATCAGTTGATTAATCAAATTTTTGGATAGTCGAAAATTTAATGATTTTTTTCATTCATGTGCATATTTTGAAACTGTAAGTTTTCAAAATAACAACCCTTGCCCTGGGATGCCTACTAGGTTCGCATGTGTAAATCAGCATTTGTGCTAAATTTGAGAATCAAAAATGTGTGTAGAAGCTTTTCCACTGGAATGTAGCAAATTTCAGCCATGAAATTCTCTTTATCCATAACATTTCGGAATTTTTGTGCTTTGAGCCGAACTTTGTAGAGGTTTTGCGCTTGGGGCTTGGGTATGAAGAAGACAGATCCAACCTAGCCTAAAACCAAAACTAATTGATATGCTAATCGAGGAACTCTAAGAGATCATTCCTATACGAAGAGAAGTGGCGACGTCGAATGTGGATGTAGGAGGTTTTAGCCTCGACCGGCGGAATAATCTCCGTTTGCGAGTCACTTGACCGGGACGTTGGCAATTTTGTGAATCAGTGGCCAATGATGATGAGCCCTAAACGGTAAACGAGTTCCGACCTCAACAAAGTGGAGTGTCTGTCTCCATGAATGGATCAAATGGCCCGGTCCATCGCTGTTTTGCGTTGAGTGCATCAATTGCATCATGGCAGCGGCGAAGAGCCGGCTGACTTAACGACGCAATGGTTATTCTGCCCGGATCAGCCATTGCGTCACGTCTTCTTTAATATTCAACAGTCTCACTCGGGTGGAGGAGACTAACTCGTCGCGGTCAGACTGCCCCTTTCTCAATTAAAGCCATGGGAAAGTAAGAGTCGATCGCTAAACTCTAAGACCACCTTTCTCAATTGAGCGGATTATCCGAAAGAAGCCTGCGTTGAGGCAAGATTTTTTGTCATATGAGCCGAGAAGCTCAGTAGGCGCTTCCTGGAGGAAACCAAGGGTCTAAATTTGGTTCAAGGAAACATGTATCATAGATACTACATTTACAAACGATTGAATGTTATCACCACGATTTCTTCGTGGAAGTAATTATATATTACATTGAAAGTCGGTTTGGGCCGAGTTTGGTGCGAAGGCCCTTTACCCTAAACGGAGAATGAGAGGTAAAAAGAAATGTTTGGTCTAGTGTAGATGCATGGAGATAATTTTTCTATAATTCCTGTACGTTATGCGTAATGCTGCTCCGAGTAGAAATCTCATAGCACGGAATAATTCTATCCACACTCCACAGTGGTGTTGAAAATTCTCCATTTACCCAGGATTTTGATAGATTCTTGAGTGGTTAAGGGAGTGCGATCACTTTTCAGTGCGGCACCATCGACATTAGCCTCCTTTCAGTTTCGTGTGCTAACACTAGTAACCAGTCTTTAAGATTTGCACAAGTCCCTTTTGTCGAAACTTGTCAATATTAAAAAGAAGCATCCATGTTAAATCCAGTTAAATCCATGTTTCCATGGATTTAACTGTTGATAAACTCTTGATTTTCGGTTTAAAAGATAAGATCGATAATTGAAAGAAATCAAGAAGAGAGGAATTTTATCCATTCCCAATCCTACAGGTACGAAATACAACCGATCTATCCGAATCAATCCGATCCATCCGAACATGAGACGAAAAATCCAACGTCCAACAGATCTTACTAAACATACCGAAATCGTGAGCTTGAGGACTTTAAACGCGATTCTGTGACACGTGACACCCACAAGTGAATCAGCCGTGAGAACTGCTTTTGCTTTGGGTTAGCGAGTGCTTTCACTCGAAAAGCGCGGCGGGTACATGCAGGCAAACGAGCACGGAAACAATAGCTCGGCTGAGCTTTTTCCAAGGAAATTAAGTGGGCCAAGTTAAGGAATGAATGAAGTCGGAGGTACACCACACTGCCCCGTATTCGATTAACAGCCGCTCCACTCCCAGTTTAACTATGACTCTGACATTGCGTGCGAGGTTGTCGTAGCTGTGCCGCATTATGCGTGTTCGTATTGAATCATGCAACAGTACTGCCGTGCTAAGGAAAAACGCCGTATGAACCTTCAGGCGTTACCAAATTGTCTCTGATTAAACACGAATTCCCAGGTAAACTCATGAATATTTTTCTTCCAATTTTTCAGAGAATTTTATTCGTATTTTGATCTAAAGTTCCTGAAAATTTCAAGGAGAAATATTCATAATTTTCCTAAAAAAATAAACAATATATTGAAGGAAATTTGGCGACTCTCGAATGTTCATACGACGTTTTTCCTTAGCAGGGCAGAGTAGCTTTACAAGGAAATCGTTGCCATTTTTGTGTCACCCTTTGAATGGATCGCTTTCGTGGAGTTTTTTTTTAAGTCCAATATACACAAGCCCGACTTAAAGGAAATATTCAAGATTGGGTTTCCCTTTATCGGGTTTCATTATGAGTGCTGGCTCTGCACTTTGCTGACACTTTAAACAACACAGGGTGGAGAAGGAACTTGCAAATTGAGAAGAATAGACCACGTATAGCGTTGACGGGTGACCATCCGTCGGGGACTTGAACGCTGGGGAAAGAAAATCAACTAATTGCGCACTCGGAGTCTGGACTCGCCGATTTCTCGGATGGACCATATATTTGACAAGGAGAGAATGGAAGCATTACGAATCAATAATTATCATCAAAATTTCACGTTGAATATGATTTGTACAACTAAAATGACTAATATTAACTGTTAACTGAGATATTTAACGTTTTTCGATGTGTAAATCGAACCTCCCGCTCATGGAGAGAAAACCTTTCGGAGTGAAATCGCACACTAAACGCTACCGTAAGAGTCTCCACCTTCCTAAATTATTGCAAACTCAATCTCGACGCTTTGGCTCAGCTATTGCATGTTGTTTACACTTTGAACAACATAGAATGGGGAGGGAACACTGCTCCATTATGAATCCTGCCAAAACCGTCGTAGTGCGCGATTTGATTCAGGTAGACTCTTCTTTTTGGTTGTGAGAGGGAAACTCAAATAAGTCGAGACCAATGCTAAATAAAAACTGTAATATCTTGTAGTCCAGTCAATCTAGCATTTTTCTGGGAAAATCTATATATAGAAGGTTTTTTTGCGGAAACATGTTGCATTAGGCTACCAGAACAACATATCAAAAGTTTACCAAAATCGGCCGTCCGCTAAGGCCGCCATCTTGAAAAAAGGGGGGGCGGGGGGCCAAAATACGCCGCCGGCGACCGGTTTTTAGCTTATATCTTGAAAAATATCGATNGCTAAATTGACTGGACTATTGGTTAGGAAGTAATTTTAGTGATTTTCGTTGCAGAAATCGTGTTCTACATGAAGTTTCATCGCTTAAATTGGCACCCGGCTCTTGGTCCATTGATCATCTCTTTGGTTA